TCTGCTGGCCGACAGGGAGGGGGCGTCGCTCTTTATGTGAGCTGTAAACTGGACGTTTTGAAGACTTGCTTATTTCAGTCGGCAGACAAAACTGTTGAAGCTCAATCGGCTGTTATTAGCACATCCTCGGCTCAGGTTACAGTTGTAATTGTGTATAGAAGCCCTGGGAGCGTATCCAAAGAGGTACTTGAATTCATTCGCTCCCAGTCCGCAAATAAGTGTTTGGTGATGGGCGACTTCAACCTCCCAGAGATTTGCTGGGCAGATCTTTCTTGCGACTCAGCGTCAGGCACATTTGGCGCTGATCTGCTTGAACTTACGCTCCAAGTATCTTTGCACCAGTTCATTGACCTCCCCACTAGGTACATGGACGCCCAAGTACCGTCTATCTTAGACCTTGTATTCGCTAAGTCACTCGATTTTGTTGATGACATTACTTACGGACCTCCACTGGGTTCCAGTGATCATGTTTGTTTGCTCTTCAATTGTACACTGTCTAGACGCTACCAGAGTACGGTTGAGTCTCGCCCGAACATATGGCAAGCAGACTATCAATCAATGAGAGCCAAGGCTTCTGGTTTCCATTGTGAGATCTCAGACGACGATACTGTCCAGGTTGCCTGGGATAAATTTAAGTCCTACCTCACAGAGGTCTCTGCTCCCTTCATACCAGTCAGAAGGAGAAAGGAGGCCCGAGCACAGCCGCCCTGGATAGATCCCACTGGCAGGCATCTGCTCACAAAGAGGTCTAGATGTTGGCGGACTTACCGAGACGCTCCGTCCACCGATACTTAGGACAGCTACAGTAAAGCTAGAAATAGGTGTAAGCAACAACTAAGGGATGCTCGGCTCAATTTTGAAAAAGGGTTAGCGGACGATGCTTCAGAGAATCCAAAAAGATTTTTAGCTTATGTCAAAAGGCGCTGCGCTTCGAACATGTCAATTCCAGTGTTGATGCGTGATGACGGTACTCATGCGCATACGGATTATGACAAGGCCTGCGTACTCAGTGGGCAATATGCGGCAGCGTATGTAAGGGAAACCTCTTTGACAGGCGTTGAGCTGGTTTGCAGGACCGCAGAGGGTTCAGAACTATCTGAATTTATTGTAGCGGAGACTGCAGTTAGTAGGCTGTTACAAGGGCTGAACCCTTCTAAGGCCTCTGGGCCTGACTTAATTCACCCGAAACTGTTGCATGAGTTGGCTGCGGAACTAAGTGGACCGCTCGCTATTGGGTTTCAGAAATCTCTTGACAGTTGTGCATTGCCTTCCGAATGGAAGGAAGCTGTCATCTGTCCCATCTTTAAACATGGGGACAGGGGTCTGCCTGCAAATTACAGGCCAGTTAGTCTGACGAGTGTAGTAGTCAAACTCCTCGAGAAACTAGTGAGAGATTCATTGGAGAGTCATCTGAGTAGATTTAATCTACTTAGCAACGTACAACACGGATTCCGGAAAGGATTTTCGTGTCTGACGAATCTGTTGGTGGCTCGCGGAAATTGGGCGGATGCATTGGATAACGGCCACACACTGGACGTGCTTTTCGTCGACTTTTCGAAGGCATTTGACAAGGCACCCCATTTGAGGCTCGCACAAAAGCTGTAATCCCACGGGGTATCTGGCCGCGTCCTTCATTGGGTGACTGTCTTCTTGGAGGGTAGAGAAGAGTGTGTACGGGTAGGCCGGCGTCTATCATTTAGGCAGTCTGTCCTCAGCGGCGTGCCGCAGGGCTCGGCACTTGGACCGCTGTTGTTCTCTATCTATGTGAATGACCTACCCACGGAGCTTGAGGTATCATCGCTGCTATTTGCTGATGACTTTAAGCTGTGGAACATTATTGATGTTCCGGGGGGTTCAGAAGCTATTCAGCGAGCATTGGATATGCTTTGGGACAGGTCTACTTTATGGTTACTGCCTATAAATCAGGCAACGTGCTCCGTTCTTCGAATTGGAGGAGGTTGTCCTCCTGCGAAGTACTTGGTCGGTGGGGTAAATCTCACCCGTGTACCTAGCCAGGTTGAACTAGGCGTCGTGCACTCTTCGGCGTTACACTCCGGCGACAACTGGAAGAAGGCCGCAAGCAGAGGTATCCGCATGTTGTGGTTAATTCGACGTTCGTTCGGAGTCTTGACGGGCGGCATCTTTACGAAGCTGTTCTCGGCTTTCGTTCGCCCTCATCTGGAATACTGCGTCCAGGCTTGTCCGCCCTGCCTCGTCCGGGACAAAATGGAGCTGGAGAGGGTTATACGAGTGGGTACCAGGTTAGTCGAGGGATTACGGGGACGCACGTACCCCGAGCGTCTACTTATTTTGGGAATGCATTCAATGGACTACCAAAGGCTTAGAGGAGACCTAATCCTAAACTACCTTATCTTGACTGGGAAGGTTGGTCCAGATTTATCTTGGATATTCAGTCCCGCTAGATTGTCTGTTCTACGCGGTCATTCGTTGAAGCTGGACAAACCGCGGTCCGATCGGATTAGGGTGGAAACCCGGCTGTCACGCAGAGACATCGACCGCTGGAACATGCTTCCGGAAAGTGTTATCAGGGAATCTACGGTTAAGGGGTTTGATCGGCAACTTGACGCTCTTGGGTGGCAACACGAAACCTTTCCATTTTCCTGAGTAACTCGCATCTTCGTACTTCGATTTTCTTTTCTCTACTTTTCTTCACGTATTGGCATTATTTTCTTATTGAAATGCACTTCCTTATTCTGTACCTTCGATTTCACTTTCTATCCTTTGCTTACTTCAAGTGACGGCCACAGCAGAGACTGCTAGGGCAGGAAGCGGGGGCATTAACTGGTTGGCCAGGGTGCGATACGGGTGTTTCCGTTCTAGATCCATCAATAACTGAGCACTTCATCAATTCCTGGCGCATCGATCCACTCAAGATGGAACCATCACGGGATTCTCCTATCGTTCCAGTCCCCATCTAAACTGAACTGAACTGAACTGAAAGATTTCATCCGCTTCGACTTTTAGCGAGACGACCGTGTTTAAAGCGGAAAGCGAAGCAGAATTGAAAAACACATATACATCCGTAAAACTACCACAAAGAGGCAAAACAGGGTGTGAAACGGGATTAAAAAGGGGAACAACCTCAAAAATTACCAGTAAGCGTCAAGGAGACGACACGTTCAGTAGCACTTCAATCGATCTAAGATATCTGGGATCAGAGGACATTTATCAATGGTCAAAATTCGCTTCACGTGTTTATTCAAACTCTGTTTTCCACAATATTTTAACTAAACAACTCAATCAGTATGGCACGCCAAAAAACCGAGTTGTCGCGTAGAACTCACAGTACCGCAGTTGATAGCTTGTTAGCACACTAAAACACATCTTTGATGCCATACCAGATTAGTGTGAAAGAGTCTAGAGGCCAAATGTGTCACCCCAGTCTGACCAAGCAATAAACGTCGCAATCTTCAAAGTACCCTGCTAGATCTGTGACTACCGAGCAGCCCCTTCCTGCACCCAAGCAACAAACTTGTGAGTCGGACTTTCTCACTTGCCTCGGTCTGGGACCGTCCTATCCGCCACTGGCGCGATTTTGAATACGGGCTGTTGTTTATTAAGACAACTGGTTTCTGCGTTCGCAAAAAGTAATGGTTTTATTGGGTAAACTTTTTACACAACGTATTTTTAAAGAGGTCATTACCTTCAAACATCCAAATACTGATATGAACAATTCCCAATTTGCAATGTTGAATGAAAGTGGAAAAGTTGAAATATGATAGTAAGTTAATTGTTAACAAGAAAATGGAATATATAAAATGGTTTATGGAAGTCCGCGGTATGTATTTCAGCAAGCATCCTACATTATTAGTAAACAGTACTATAAGTTGAATGGCCTAAAATTTATCTCTTTCCACCTGCAACCCTTGTGTACCGGAATCACACTGCCGAAAGAACATTATTTCCAAGTGGCGGACAGGACGCTCCCCCTCGGTCTTTCCCTTGGCGATTTTCACTCCGGTGCAACTCTACGGATCCGGGACACGTCTTCGTTGTGAGGGAATAGTCTGTAAAATAATCGATACACACGCTTCATGGCGCAAATTTCTGAAAGCCAGGTGGGCACCATAGTTCGTTAGACTATTTTGTTAGACTATTTTCGGCTTTTGTAAGGCCGCACTTGGAATACTGCGTCCAGGCTTGTCCTCCATGCCTGTTTCGTGATAAGATGGCAGTTGAACGAGTCCTGCGGTCCGGGACGAAAATGGTGTACGACTTAAAGAAGCTGACGTACCCGGAGAGGCTACGTAAGTTGGATATGTTTTCCATGTATTACAGGCGGCTTCGGGGCGACTTGGTCCTTACATATCGTATATTGATGGGTCAGATTGGTCCTGATTTGACTGGACTGTTTCGCCCAACTCGAATGCCAACCCTTCGTGGCCACCCATTAAAGTTGCACAAACCCCGGTCTGACCGGGTTTTGGCAACTTTTAGATTATCGCGTAGGGTTATAGCTTATTGGAACACATTGCCTGCAGACGTCGTGATGGCACCGACGTTGAAAGAGTTCGAGCATCGACTTGACGCTCTCGGTCTGCAGTTTAAAGTCTTCCCCTTCGTGTCTTAAACTTTTCTGCGTCTATTACGGCTTACGCTTCTTTAACTCATTTTAACTTACATTTTAATATTGCCTACGATATTCGATTAGCTTGTCTTCTCTGTTTTCTTTTCTTTACTGACACTACTGTTTTCTTTTATTCTTCACGTGGCCGGCACAGCGGGGACTGCTAGTGCAGGGCACGTGGGCATTGTTTGGTTGACCATATGAATCGTGTGTGTTGATTTGGCTCTCCTTTGGCACATCAAGGCACCGGTTTCCCTGTTGGATCAACGACGTTTTCAAAGGTGGAACATTCGCGGGATTTTCCTACTGTTCCGGTCCCAATTGAACTTGAACTTGAACTTGAACTTGATTCGGGGACGGGTTGTCGTAGTTCTGTCATCAGGTAATTCTTCGTTACCTTCTAAGACGGACAGGCGCATCCTGAGCGAGTGTGAGGTCCTCCAAGTCGAGAACCTTATGTTTGAAAAATACATGGACCACACTGGCATAGCAAAATTTTCCGCTACTCTCAATGGTTGGTGTTTAATATTTTCGTCTTAGATGTGTTTTTAAAGACTCTGTCGACGTTATTTCTCCGAGCTCCCGAGTACGGTCCTGGCAGCCGACCAAGATATCCGAGGTTCCAAACGTGAATGTACCTTCTCAACTTGTAAGGCTATCAGCTGAAAGAAAATGTAAGATAGCACATCAAGAACAGGCAGAAGCCAAGAAGGAAATTGCTTTTTTGATAAAATCCAGTGAAAATCTTATCAATGAGTATAAGGTGCGGTTTACCCCTACTCTTATTCATACTTTTAAGGCTCGTATCGAACAACTTCTTAGGGAGACAGAAGACATCGCTAAGGAGAGAAGGTCATTCAGCAATCTGGTTGTGCGGGTTGTTAATACTTCAGTAGGGCGTCATCATGGACACCGAACTTTCCTGAGCTTCCATCAAAACTATTTGAGGCGCAAGGTTGGTTTAGTTTTAGAATTGCATATCTACTTGTGACGCTTGACGCTTGCAAGTAATTTTTGATAATCAAATTAGTTGGCGCATTAAAAATTTAAACTGATGTCATAAAACTGAGTATTCGTTTGAGATAAATCAAGTTCAAGTGGGACTGGAACGGTAGGATAACTTCCCGTGGGGGTTCCTTCTGTGGCGTGTCATTGATTTGAGGTATTATTCGTCCGCGATAACTAGAATTTAGAAGAGATAAATCAGCACGCGCGAAACACCACGGTCAACTAATTAATACTCATGCGACTTGCTTTGGCAGTCCTTGCTGCACCGGTCACATGAAATAAGAAACAGGAGTACGAGTAATAAATGCGTTAAGAACAAAAGTAAGGTTTAATAATGCACCCAGGCAAATAAGCTAATATGTGAAGGGAAAATTGAAGAACTGAAGGCCAAAGGCGTCAAGTCATTGTTCGAACTCTGCCTTGGCAAAGTGAGCTTCCCATCAGAATCCTGTGAGAGTCCTAAGAGGGAGAATGCTAGACGAGCTAGAAAGCGTAACACTGTCTTTCAGCGAACCCCGAAAGGGTACGACTAACCAAGCTGTAGACCTAAATCTCACCCGTCCCGATAACTTAAACGCAATGCTCTCAGTCTTATCATACGGCGGGATTGTTTCAAATGGCAACCATGGGAGCACGACAGACAACTCCGAAGAGTCACTCGCTACAGTCGCCGACCATGAAGCTACGAACGAGCAACTCCAAAGTGTTACAATCCGGAGACCTTCGGCGGTGACCCCGAGCAACGTTGAGCGACCGTCCGTGTCATAAAGCGGTTTGCTCCACCTATACAAACACTGCTCTTTCACGCACCGGAATCTGAAAACAGATGCAGGTCCGTTATGAGCATGATGTCGGATTTCTTCAAAGTTTGCTCATTAAGCTCTTGGACCCGGATGAGCAAGGCGTTCGTTTAAAGCGAATATTCCGTATTGGGAAATGGTCCCTCAACGCTTCATATCCTTTAAGAATTGTTTTCGAAAACCGCGTCACCCCTACACGTCTTCTGTCCCGGCTTTGGCGGGTCAATTTTCTGAGACCACTTGTGCTCCGACCTCACTTGTAGAACGAAACTGCTTTCAGACTGCGACCATTGATCTAAAACAACACCCAACAAGGTGAGAGCCATTTACGGATCGTAAATTTTTGTGTAGTACAAACACGCCAGCTAATAAACCGTCATTAATGGTAACACATGGTAGCGAAGGGCCGAGGAAGCACGCCAAAGATCATCGCTTTGTCGACGAAGTGCAGGTAAAGTACGCTTATGATGTAACTCCGTTCTTGTGTATGCGACTCCACAAAGCGGGTGGATCAACCGAGTCATGCATTCCGTACGTCTAGGAATTCGAAGACAATAAGCCTGTGATAAATGTGGCGATGTTCTAGGAGTTGGCATAGCGTGAACATTTTATTCACGCATCCAAGGCCGGGACGGAAATTAGTTTGTTCTTCACAATAGTACGATTCACCTATTGGGTGTGGTCTGCGGTACTTGGAGGCTAATCCCTCTCTGATTACCGCTTTCGATGCAATCGCCCTCCTTGGATATCGGGACTTCTGATTCGCACCAAGAGGAGACCACTTTCTTCGTGTCAGATTCTTCCGAACCAAAACGTTAGCTAGTAAACGCTTGCTATGCCACCTACCTGTAGAGCTCCGGAGGATGTCTCTCTGAGCCAACAAGCTTGAATCACTTCAAGCGTTAAATCTTGAGGGTAACTTCCGCTTCGGTAGGTGGGTTCAGCTGGACAAGTCACCTTAGGCAACAAGGTGTGCTACGTGCACTGATGGACAGTGGAGGGCTGTTGAATTGCGAATGAAAGTGCTCGGCCCAGCGGTCCAAATGCCTGTGCTGGTTGGTAATCGGAGACCCATCAGCCTCGCGGTTACTCTCACTAACACCAAGCTTTCTGAGGCCAGTGAACCGAATGAGTTGAATAAGATTGCGTATGTCATCATAGCGAGCAGGGGTCTTCATCTCCAAAGCACACTCAACTCACCAAGCCTTGCGATCTTTGCTTGAGCTGCCGATTTGCAGAGCAGTGCTGCTCGTTGTTCAAGTTCAAGTGGGACGGGAACAGTTAATGAATCCCATGGTTGTTCCACCTTGTAAAGTGTCATTCATCCCGCAGTAAAATCTGTTGGGCGATCTGCAAGGAGGAGCCAAATCAACACACACGGTACACTCTACGGTCAACAGAACAATGGCCACATGCCCTGCACTAGCAGTCCCCGCTGTGCCGACCACGTGAAATGAAGAAACAGTGGAAGAACAAAAACTAGGCAAGCTGGAGTAATGACTAACAATTTTTGAATTCAAATGAGAGGTTAAAATGGTGTAAGTATCTACAGAGCAGAGCAAAGTTAAGATAAGGAGGGGAAGAGTTTAACCTGTAGACCAAATGCGTCAAGTTGATGCTCGAACGCTTTCACCGTTGTCACCATTACTACTTCAGCGGGTACTACATTCAAAGAGTCTATAACCCGGTGTGATAACGCAGAATCCGTCCCAACCCGATCCGAACGGGGTTTGTGCAACTTCAGTAGATGGCCACGAAGACTTGACACCGGAGTGGATGGAACAGTCCAGATTAATCAGGGCCGACCTGACCTGCTATTATGCGATAGGTGAGAACCAGATCAACCCGAAATCTTCCGTAGCACATCGAAAACATGTTCAAGTTGATTAACCTCTTAGCTTCCTTACTTGAAACATCATTTTTGTCCCGACCGTAAAACTCGTTTTACGGTTTTGTCCCGGACTAGTCATAGTGGACAAGCTTGTACGCAGTATTCTAAGTGGCCTAACGAAGGCTGCAAATAATCTTGTGAACATTTCGGTCGTCATGATCTGCGGATCACATTTGCGAGCCGGTGCCATCCAATGTTCACTGGACTTAAATTCAGACGATAGCAAGACGCTTAGGTCAGCTTGGAGTGACACCCGCGGGACTTCATTCCTCCCGAGTAAATATTGCGTCGGTTGGTCATTTGATCCTACTCGCAAACTGAACATTTAGCGAGATTAATAGTCAACTGCCACAAAACGGACCAGTTCCGTAGTCTATCTAGGGCCCTTTGTGGAGCCAGTGGACCACTGGGGTTATTTACTGTGGACCTGAACTTTAAGTCATCCGCGAAGATTAGGGATGGCACACCCAGCTCGTCGGGTAATTCATTAACGAACAAACTGCCTAGCATGGGGCCATGGACCGAATCTGGCGGGACACCGCTGTGAACACTGATTTGAAGACAAACCCTAACCCACACGAACATACATCTCCTTTCCAGTTAAAAAAGCCGAACTACATTTGAAGCCTGGCCGTGAGATACCATAGGCCTGAAACTTGAACAAAAGACGAGACTGCGGAACGGTGTCACAAGCTTTGGAGAAATCGATGAATAATACGTCCAGGGCTTTTCCTTGTTTGCAGGCAACTAACAAGTTGGTATGGCAAGGATAGCTCTTAAGAAAACCGTGTTGGGAGCGGCTGAGCAATCCAAACGCCTTTAAATGGCTTTCAAGGGCATCCCTCACAAGTTTTTCTAGAAGTTCGACCAACACGCTGGTTAGCCTAACAGGTCTATAGTTCTCAGGGAGGTGTTTGTCAAACTTTTTAGAAATGGGCATACAACAGCGCTTTTCCAGTCATCAGGTAGGGAACAGCTGCACCATGACTTCTCTAACAGTCGCGTAATTGGACAGCAAAGTTCATGTGTCAACTCATACAGCAGTTTGTGGTAGATAGCGTCCAATCGTGCTGCATTCGTTGGATTTAGCTCTCCTCGAAGCTTTAACACCTTGGCCTCCGATATGGAAATCAGATAAACGTCTACAGGAACCTTTACTTTCAAACTAATGCTCGGCAGATGGGAATAATTGGCAAGTACGTCTGCATACCGTTCCAAGCCAGGAAGCCTTGCCAAGCTCGGAGACAGCAGCAGAGTCATCTGGACCGAACGACACTGGGATAGACGGGCGCATGTTGCCTCGTCTTTTAATATAAGCAAAGAAGCGTTTCGGGTTTGATGAGGGTGTACGGGCAAGCTCGATTTCATGCAGATACTGCCTGCATGCTTTTCGAACTTCTCGGTACTTTTGGAAGGTGCATACCGAAGGAGCAGACATAGGCACGCAAACATCTGGTCCGCCTCCTAAGCAGCTTTCGCGCCGCGGAACCAAACCAAGGTAGCCTGGCTTCAGTTTTATTCCTCGAAGAAATTAGTGTCTGAGGTAGCGACAACTCAAGTACATATGACTTGTATGTATCCCGGGTTGCCTAAATATTGTCGGTGTCTGAAATGACGCAGTGAGATGGCAGCCTTTGCTTTCATTGCTTGAAATTCGGCACGCCATATGTTTGGTTTTCGGATGGTGAGGTCATTAGGTAAACTGTTGAGAGCACACTTTAAGCACAGGTATGCATGGTTACACGCCTATAGATGAATCGTAATCAATGTCCCTGACAAAGTCCATTGACTTGGCGAAGACCAGATCCAAGGGTGATGGTACTTAACCCACCATGAACCTGGCTGGCCGGTCAAAAAATTTGATGTATGGGTACATGCAGACGTAGGTCTGGAGGCTCATTAGCAAAACTCCCTTAAACAGCATCACGGAAAAATTTTTGCCAGTCTGCATTTAGAAGATTAAAGTCGAGTGGGCACAGATGAAATCAATTAGACCCCTTGCTACACTATCGAGGCTTCTATAAACCAGCGCAACTTCTAGTTTTGCATTGGAGATGCGCAATTTCACCGCGAGCACCTCGACGGAACTGTTTGGGGAACAGAATGTATACATTCTGAAAATAGTTAATGCGGTGTTAAGGTGCAAAGCAACGCCGCCTCCGCGATGAGCGGAAGCGCAACCACACCTCAGCAATGCGTAGTCTGGTAAGCCAGCTTCACCGTCTGTGACATACTCAGACAAATACGTCTCAGTGA